ACACACACACACAATTGACCCCCACCCCAAACCACTACAATTTTGGGATGCACCTAGTAGCATGACATTTATTAGGAATAAAGACTGAGTTCCGGTGCATGTCTGCGTGTGGGGGTCATTATGTTGCCGCTATGCAGTATCTAGTTTATTATGTATTTTTAGAATTTTTTTGTGATTTTGTGGATTGCTGTGCAGCACTTTGGTTCAGCTTTTAGCTGTTTTTAAAAGTGCTTTCTAAACAAAATTGAAATTGACAAAAAAAAATACAACAACTTGAGTTTGTTTTTTTCCCGCCTCAATTTTACAAATGACAGATATTCTTTTATGGCCATTTTCAAAAACTTTCCAGGACCTTGAACTCGTTTTTTTCACATTCACAAACGTTCAAGGACCAGTGGGAATCCTGAAAGATGTCATAACTTCTGATTATCATTAGAAATAATAGGCTGACAGTTTTAACCTTGTTAATTTAATTAATTTTAATCTTTTCTAACAGACGTTCAGGTTCAGATGAAGTATGAAGTAGAAACCGTCTCACTGTTATCGGGCCGTTGGCTTCTGCTTCCATCAGACCGGCATGGAGTGAGCAGAACTCCAGCTGCAGGAAGGAGGGCGGTGGAGCATCGAGCTGAGTGGAAACCTGTCAGACAATGCACAGGGACACAGTTCCCATCTGTTTTCTGAAACATTAAAAGGAGCTTACATGTTCTGACAGATCTGGGACAGAACCACATAAGGTTCTGGGTCCAGCTTTAATTACCAACAAACTCAGATGATTGTTTACAGGTCTGCAGAGACACAAACAAACAAACTGGGTCAGAGCTGAGTCTAGTTAAACTACACGTGGGTCTGGAGTTGGTTATATTCATGTTTACAGCTTCATTACTCACAGATTTATCACCTGATCCACATAAATAACATTCAGAACCAGTAAACACAACCAGACCACTACAGGTTCTGACCTGGTTTTACTGATTCATGTCATGTTTAGTTACAATCAGAACCAACAGCTCTGTTTCACATGGGCTCCCTCCAGTTTTTAAGGAAGTGAATAAACAATATATATTTTTATTACTTTTTTTAGTACTGATCCAGCTGCTTATATTTGTGTTATTGTCTACAGCATGTGTCAAACTCAAACTTAAACCAGGGTGGGGTAGCTCAGTATTAATGTCTGAAAATAGGCTGCTTTAAAGTCAGCATTGACATCTCCCAAATTGCATGTTGATCATCCATGGGAATTCCTGTCAGAAAGTCAGAATTTAAGATGGCAGCTACTCACTAGAAACTCATCAGTGAGTAAAACTCTATTAGTTTTACTTTTAATATTATTTCTGTATTATTTATTTCAGATTTAGTCAGTCGTACACTTATTTCTTTTCAGTGTTTAAAAATATGAAACGTCAAAGTTAATCACAACTGGCCCTTCAAGAGCCCACCACTTTGCTCACATGGACCTCTTTGACACCCCTGGTCTACAGGAAATGAGTGCTACGATTTTTGTTTTTTCTAACTTTTCTAAAACATTAATTTACTTTGTTTCACTATCAAATACATTAAGATCTTTTCAAATCCTTCAAAAAAAAACATTGTTTATTTAAGAATTGCTTTAGCATGAATCTGCTAAAACAATTGCCAATGGGGAGCTTCACTCAGGCTCAGGCTGGGCGATATGGCCTAAAATCAACATCACGACATACTGACCAGTTTACCTCGATAACGATAAATACACAATAACTCTTACCACCCCCATAAACAAGTACACACTATAGTTATAACACTACACACTGTGTCCATGTTCTTAGTCAAAGTACAGTTTACTTTTCTCTAACGAAGCATTATATAAAAATGTTAACCTGAACCATTTGGACCAAAGGGATTTGTAAGGAAGAGTTTGATTTTGAACAGCTTTTCTGTAGTTTACATTTGTCATTTTAGTGTTTTTAATATACACTGCTCAAAAAAATAAAGGGAACACTTAAACAACGCACGCTAACTCCCGATCTTAATCAATGAAATATTCGCATTGAGTACTTTGTTCTGTACAGAGTTGAATGTGCTTCACAAAAGTTTGATTTACTCGGACTTAGCGTGCGTTGTTTAAGTGTTCCCTTTATTTTTTTGAGCAGTGTATTTAATAAAAACATTTTTGTCAAGACTTGAGTCAGATATAGTCATACAAATATGTAACCATCTTCATAACTTTTCAGTGCAAACACATTATGTATGTAGTATAACTTTATATTTTAAAAAATATACCAAATATGTCTTTTGTACTTCACAAAATAACTTAACTACATGTTTTTATTTGTTAGTCTGACTAATTTCTCTATTAAAATAACAATTTATTTCGAAATTATATTATTTAGAGAGCTCATATAATCATTTAATACTTTTTATTCTTCATATTTGATCATTTATTGAATCACAGAGCAGTTCAGTCACAGTATGGTTCTAAACATAAGCAGGCTATTTTGTGAAGAATGAAATTTGTAGATATTTATGATAAGAACATAGTGGGTTTTTTTTTGTGTTTGTTTGTTTTTTTTCGGGGGTGGGGGGCTAGCACTAAGCAGAGACTCATCTTTTCTATACTGGGGAAAAGTGTTCATCTGAGTTAATATTTTGGAAGAGCTGAAAGCGGCTCTCACAGAACAACTCAGCCTGCGTGCACCTCGGCGCGCTCCTGTAACAGCGCTGTCGAGGAGAGAAGTTTGGTCACACAAGCAAAGTTGGACATACTGTATTTGTTAGATAATGAAGCTCTGAACACATAAACTTATAGTGTGTTAGATTTTAGATACCAACGTCTCTGGTAGCTCAGGAGCAAAGTGTGGAGGATGGTTTGCTCACTCAGGACAGGAGCTGCAGGGTGACTGGTGTTTACCCTGCAGACTGCTGCACCGACATCAGAAAGACCCGCCCTGCTCTGCTCTGATTGGATAAAGCTGTGGGGTTCGTTTGATTTGTTGAAAACAGCGTCTGTTTAAACCTGTATCAGACTGGGTGGTTTTAACGAGACCGCAGCAGAAAACAAGCAGGTTCTCCGACACGAACAAAATGACGTTGGTCATAAAATTAGCAATCATGATATAATTTATTTTCCCGGGCAAGTTTGTTTTTACCGGTATTTTCTTGAATGATATGATATGGCCCAGCCCTACTCAGGCTATTTTTAAAAAGCGAGTCACGTGACTCTGGTCTGCTGCTCGTACAAACTCTCATAGCTGCTCCATCCTTTTCAATGGAGCTGTGCCGGTTTAACTGAGCTTAAACTTCAATAAAATTGCGAAAACAGCATCAAACTCCACCGGAAAGACCACAAACACTGTGTTACAGTACTCGTAACAGTGACTCAGGATACAGCCATCAATCCCCTATGGAACAAATATTTTCAGCCAAGCTAAGATGCAGACTAACAGCTGGGATCGAGTGATGAGACGAGCTCAATTTGACCAGAAAAAATCCTGGACTTAACGTCTGCTCCAAACATTTAACCTGAGGTAAAAAACCAACACTGGACCAGCTGGATCCTCTCCCTGCACTGTCTGTCGATCAACAGGAACAGTAAACCTGATTGATTTACTGTAGCTTACTGCTAGCTTTACTACTAGCATCTATGCTAGCCTCGGTTACATACAGCGCTCTACTCCCAGGCTGTACTGCAGTCAGTCACACATACAGTGATACTTAACACAAATTTTAAACATCACCATTGTTTCTTTAAATGATGCAGAAGTGGTGACTCGAGTGATAAAAATACTCACACAGACACACATGATAGATGCAACAAGCTAAGCTAAGTAAGACAGAGTAAAAACACCAACCTTTTTAACAATTTCACTCACTTTCTAAGTCTGTCGAAGACCTCGACCCTCCAGACAACATTTCAACTGAACTTTCCTGTGACTCCTGAAGTCGGATGAGTCAAAATTTGCTCAAGAAACGTCTTTATCTGTTACGGTTTTAACACTGAATCTCAGTAGAATCCACTCAGACTGTCCGATCATTTGCGAGTGCAGCAGATAATGTATGCAAATGATATGCATGAAGGTCCCCATTCTGCTAATGCTAATTCTGCAGCTATCGGTATTAATACTAGTAATGTTAAACCTACTAATGCTAAACTTAGCTAGCTACTCCTAGCTCTTAGCTAACAATTTGTTTTTAAAGCTTCTAGCTAACAATTACCATCTGTTAGCTAAAGTCATATAAATGTTAGCTTTTAGCTAGCATTTTGTTTTTCTAGTTAGTAATTCCATGGTTGTAGATTTAAATAGTGTTTTTTAACAATAACTATTACTACTACTACCACCAATCTACACTACTTTTAGTAAGCATTGCATTATCTTTGGCTAGCAAAAACTAATTTTAGCTTTTAACTAATTTTTTGGTAAATATCAGTTGGTGTTTTGCTACTTTTAGCATTCATCTTAGATTCAGCTTCTTCAGCGAAATTCAGAACTCAACATTCCCACAGATTTTTCTAGTTTTAGCCTTTAAGTTTTGTTTGGCTAATTTAAATTTTTAGCTATTGTTTTGTTAATTGTAACACTTAGGTGAATTTGTTTACTTTTCTTATGGTTTGTGTGAAAATGCTTCGAGCTCTTACAGTTCTACAAGTGGAACCTGAACAGATTTCAGCAGAAACACTGCAGGATTTGTCCTCTTCTATTTAATCTGTTGTTTACAAACCTGCAGTTTCTCAGAGTTTTCTTTTTGGTCCACTCGGCTGCTACTCTGTGTTGTCTTCTCCACTTCTCCATGCTCCTCCTCCTCCTCCTCTTCTTCTTCACTTGACAGAACAACTAAAAGAAGGAATACAAACAATCATGGCTGAATGTGTTATATTTTAACTTCTAATTTGTTTTTAAGACGATATTTGTTATGTTTTCTATGTTCTACTACAAAAAATAGTCAAATTTTACTCAACTGTTCAGGCCTTTTCAATGAAAACACAGTGGGCCTCATGCAAGAACATGTTCGTATTCTTATCCTAAATTTCTCTTACTTTTGTTCGTACGAAGGGTTCGTACGAACATGCCACGTCAGATTCAACAAACACTTCTATCTTCAGGAAAAGTGCGTAAATGAGCTGCGTAAATTCCACCTGTTCGTATCCAGCTGCTCGTGCACGTGAGAGGAGATTAGCATAATTACCACCCTAAAAACACCATATAAGGCTGTGTTTCCTGCCTCAGATATCAGGAAGTGTTCATTCATGAAAATGACAGCGAAAACTAAAAAGAAGAACTTTACGAGTTCAGAGATTGAAGTCCGTCTGTCAGAGATCCAGAAAATCATTTTTAGCAGGTCAGCTGTGGGATAAAGAGAGCTGCTAAAAGTATAAACAACTGTGTTAAATCATTTTCATTTATTCAGAAGACACACTGTCGCACACCGTACACCACCCCGTGCCGTGCGGTCGCAGGTGGTCTCAGATGCGGGTTTGAAATAAACGTTTAAAATGTTTTCAAAATAAGTCTGGCACTTTGGAGAAAATCCAGGACTCGCTGGAGGGATTATGTATCCCCTCTGGTCTGGGAACGTCTCGGAGTCCCCCAGGACATGGAGGATGTCGCTGGGGAGAGCGGGGTCTTTCTGCTGCTGGCCCCGCACCAGATAGCGGATAAGCCGGCCAGACGGACAATTTATATTGTTAGTCTAAATTATTACATTTAAAATTATAACTCTAATTAAAGCGGAAAAGCCTACTGTCAACATAATTATGGAGTGTGATTTATTTTCAACTCAAAATATTTTCAAACTAACTAAATATAAAGTTATTAGGGAGGAAAACCCGTCTGGATAACAGCAGACTGACTGCTCGTAAAATATACGACAGGTCTGGACCACTCGTGAATTTTGTTCGTATCTGAAAAAAATCTTAGAATACGAAAACATTGGTGAATGCTACAAATTCTCCTAAATCATTCATACGCACAACTTAAGAACAACTCTGTGCGTACGAACGGTTCTTGCATGAGGCCCATTATTTTTCATGTTGGGATAAATATCGAAGGAACAGTCAGAATGAACGTCTGCACATGTTGGAGCTGTAAGTTTGGACCATGAGAACCCATTGATAAACTCACTGGGTTCAATCGGAGTCTGTTTGGGTTTCTTCAGTCGCAGGTGCAGATCAGATGATCTGGTCTTCCTCTCTCTGAATTGTCTCCACCGGTCCCTCTGTGTCTCCAGCACATCCTTCTTTAGGTCCAAGTACTGTCGTCTGTCAGGAGTCTTCCTCTGAGACGGCAGCACCTTCATCGGGGAAACAGAAGAGGAAGAGCAGGGTCTGGAGGAGTCAGACATGGTTCTGTGCGGGGAAACCAAGTTGTCTTCTGATGTCTGGTTTGGTTCGGAGCTGGACAAATTCTTATGCTGTTTTAAAGAAAACACAAATTTGGTCACAGACAGAAAAAATAAATAAATAAATAAATCACCTCATCCTGGACAGCTGAACTGCAGCTCTGACAATTAAACTTCTAAAACTCAAACATCAATCAGACATAAACAGAACATTTAAAACCACTAGAACAACAGAGTAGTGCAATTTTTCTTCTTAAAATGTCCAACTGTACAGGAGCTTTTAACCCGGTCACCTTCACATCTTTGCTGGACTCAGTTTTCCTCTGGGACACTGAAGAACTGAAACTCCCAGCATGCTCCTCTGCTCGCAGCTCGGCCAGAGAGTCCACAGACTCTACAGAGATGTTTTTATTCAGCAACTGACCTACAAAGATCAATTTTGAGTAAATAATGTTTAGATTTTCTCATTTAATCATAGACTCTCAGAGTGTGTCTCACCTGAACATTCAGGGCTTTTCTTCTTCTGTGGTGGAGACAAGTGCTCTGAGAGGTCTGTGGGCTGCAGCAGGCGGTCAGATGCTCGCTTAGGTCGCCATCTGTTGGAGGAAAAAGGAAACAGCAGCTTTATTACACCATAATAAAATAACAGTTTAAAATAAATGTATTAAAATTATCAGTAAATATAAGATTAAACCAAATGTTTCAAATAACTGTATAAATACACACAAAATCATTTGTCTTACTGTCTGACATTAAATCAGGATAAATGTCTTAAGCCAGTTAGGAATCACAAAACTATTTAGATTTTTAATGTCTGAATAACAAGAGTTTTATTACTTTTCTTCAAAAGTCACATGTTTACAAACACTATGCCTTGAAACATTATGGGAAAGCCCAGATGATGAAATCATGGTTTAGGAAGCTTTTATTGGTTAGTTGACAGCAGAGTCAAAGCAAACCTCAGGCACACTGCTTCTTTGTGAGATAATATTTTGGGAAATTTAAAAGAAATTAGTCAAGATATCAGGAAGAGACATATATCGACCTCCACAACTCCAGATAAAGATTCAGTGTTTTAATCAAACAATTATACACAAATAAGTGTGTATGGGAACATCCTGCAATTCAACTACTCAGGGAGAAGACAGGTTTCACCGTTTGGCTGTTGTCTGCCAATCAGAGATGTGCACTAATTGTGTGAGGAGATGGTGCACAAGGATAACCAAGGAGCACACTGCAGAAAGATTTGATGTTAACAGTTTGTGTGTTGTAACTACACATGGAGTTTGTTGGACTTGTGTGTGCGACGTGCAAGCTACCAGTAAGTAACTCAGTTTTACTCTTTTCTTTTACTCCTTATTTAACTGACAATGTATGTAAATTACAAGACAGATATTTTGAGCTGAACATTATGGATGATTCTGTAGTTTCAAATGCTTATTTTCTTGATATTTACACATATTTTCTGTCTTTGGCTGAGTGGTTAGAGCAGGTGTCGTTATTCAGTCGCATGTCGAAGTGTCTCTGGACAAGACATTGAACCCCCACTGCCTCTGATGTGTCCCATCAGTGTATGAGTGTGATTTAGAGCAGGGGATCTTAACCTTTTTGACCCTGGGGCCCAATTTATTGAACATAAAGTGGCAGGAGGCCCAGTCAGTGTAGGGTAGGGTAGGGTAGGGTAGGGTAGGGTAGGGTAGGGTAGGGTAGGGTAGGGG